AATGGCAGCCAACATGCAGAAAAACAGAAATAGACTCCAACCTGTATATAAATGTGTTCGGGCCACAGCCACCTATGGATGAAGAGGCTACACACAGTGGCTCAGTGTGACGGGCTCAATTTTTTTCCACTCTGTATACTGGCTACCATTGAGGGTATTCTTATGGATTATATATACATTCACTTGGCTATTGGTGGTTCTCTGTAATCGATCTCCACATCCTTCAGGTGTGCACATTTTTTATTTATTTATTTTACTGTTAATGTTACTAGGTTTGCCACCTGCCCAGGATTCAACCGGACAGTCCGGGTTTTGACTGCTGTGTCCGGGTTTCATGGCAGCTGAGACCCGGACACAAAATGTCAGACAGACCAGGGCAACCAAAATTGAGATATGGGCTACTGGCCACCCACTGAAAATAGTCTCAACTGTGATATTTACATATGAATGGGGTGCCGCTATGTACATATGAAAAAGCTGCCACTCATTCTCCCCACAAAAATGTCCGCGTGCCGCTAGAGTGTTCGAGTTTCGTTTGAAGAAAACGTGGCAACCCTAAATGTTACTGTTAATATATGTCTCATCTGCACTAGCCAGCTTTGTTTCTTTTCTTTTTTCTTGTACTTACAGTTAGTAATAGTTCCATTTTGTACTGTATGCGGAGCTGCAAGGATTTAGTGCACTGTTTAAGGCCGCTTTGATTTGTCACTTGCTTGGACTTCATCTGCCGGAGACTGTATTTTGTTCTCCTTTTTGGGAGGGTTTGGGGCTTTTTGGGTTTCGGGCTCACCTTTCTGCTGTGTGCACCCTTTTTGTGTTGTTTGCTTTAGAATGAATTAATAATTGATTTTTAATTATATTAATAATCACCGGTGAATTACCGCCATTGAGCCTCAAATCACAATACTGTAGAAATGCACAATAAAATCTAAAAATATGCACACTTGTTTATGGGCCATATGTATTAACACCTACAAGTATTTGGGATCCCTGTATTCAGGGTACCTACAAAAAAAATTAGTGAAAGTATTTGTAATAAAATTATTTATTAATCAAACTAGAACTGCATTTTTTTCACATAGGGTATAAAAAAAAAAAAATCCAAATTTAGGCCCAATATGTTTTAAAAACCAGTGTGAGCATAAATAAAGCAGTTAAAATATTTTTGTTGAATGAACTGGTACACGCCAAAGGTTGATTATTTGCTCTGGTCACAAAATGTATAATGCCTCCTGTACATAAAAGTGTTAATGTTCATGAGTAAAGAAAGAGCGTATTTGAAACAGCTAATGGAGTGGATTATAAAGGTAACACTGTGCTTACATGCTTGGGGCATGGGAAGGTTCACTTTAAAGTAGACATATAGTCAAAATAAAAATGTACATATATGCTGTAGTCAAAGCAGAGCATTACCGCAGCATATCATGCTTGCAACAAATTCCCGCTGTAAGTAGAAATAGCCGCTGATAGTTGCTTTTGTGTTTTAACATATTTTATGTATGTTATTTACAAAACATGAGCTCAGGTTTGGAACCCACCTGATCCGTACAAGAGCTCCTCCTAGGTGTGGTCTGAGCAGGAGCTCATCTCTATTATTTACCTGTAAAAGCCTCCTTTGTGTAGACATCCAAAAGCCCTGAGACTACTGCTGGGTGTCTTGTATGTGATGTCGGCAGCCCCAGCAGACTCAGAGCTGTCATTCAAGTAGCACTCTGTAGTATTCCCCTTTGTTACTCCAGAACATTGAAGAACATTGAAAATAAGTATTTAAGACACCTGATTATTCTATGCCTTTTCTGTGTGTTTTAAGTTGGTGATATGGTTTTTTGCTAATTCGGCATATTTGCTGATATCAATCTCTCTACTGAGAATTATATAGGGAACTTACAAGCATTACATAGTAAGGTGCTAACATGCTTGGTAAGGAAACATGGTGACCAGAATAATACATTCTCCATACACTGTTCTTACAAATGCTAGCTAAGAAGTTCCTGATCTGAAACTACAGCACTGGAGGCCTCCAGTTTGGTAGATCCTATTGTTACTATGGTAGTGCCACCAGTGCCACCAGTTCTCTCTGTAAGGTCTGACAGTATAGGTGATCTTTAGTTCTGCAACCATGACTTTAAGCTCAGCTTCTCATCCTCAGGAGCCAGGTATCACAACTGATGTGTGGTAGAGTTTATTCTACGTCTATCTTAAAACCTACCACACCTTCAACAGCCCAGAACACAGGCACCACAAGATTCTTAACGAACCTTCAAGTTTATCCAAAGCTTCTTGTATGTCCCTAGTACACTCCCTGAACCTGAGCTCACACTACCAAAGACCCTCCAGTTTGCTCCATCATGAGAGCCCTCGAAGAGAGAACAAAAATGCAATGCTGGTAATAAATAGGTGTCCTATTATGAAAGAAGTCCTATAAGTAAGAATGCTACAATTCTGGGTTCTCTGGACATGTTTGGGGATTGTGGTGGGTCCCTTGGTGCATATGAAAACCTTTGGGCAAATTAAGGTATATACAGGCAACATCTAGTTAAAGTTGACTGTGGAATGCAACCACTGTAAGTATTTTTTAAATGTGGAAAGGTTAGAAATTAGTCAAATAGAAGATCAAGGCTACGCATAAGGACAATGCATGGGCAGCACAGTGGCGTAGTGGTTAGCGCTTCTGCCTTGCAGCACGGGGGCTCCCTGGTTTGAATCCCGGCCAGGTCACTATCTGCAAGGGGTTTGCATTGCATTGGCCCTCTATGTATGTGAGATAGGAACCTTAGATTGTAAGCTCCTAGAGGGTAGGGACTGATGTGAATGTGCAGCTATGTAAAGTGCTGTGTAAATTGCTGGCGCTATACAGATGTTCCTCACTTACCGACTTACCTGTTTTGCGACCACTCGCACTTACGACGGAGCGCCGATCGACCTCCGACCTTGTGCGTCAGCGTCAGTGCGCCGTGTCGCCGGCGGAAGTGGTGTCCTCCGATCTTCATTGCGGGTCCTGGTAAGTATTTTCATTGCCCGATGTACAGTACACTGTTCGTTACTGTACATCGGCAACGCTATACAGTACTGTACTAATGCAGTACAGTACTGTATAGAGTTCCTCACTTAACGACCAATCCGTTTAACGACCTGGTCGTAGGAACGGAACTCGGTCGTTAAGTGAGGAATACCTGTATAAATACCTGTAAGAAATAAATAAATGCTTATAATAAACCATTGGTTTCTTTTCTGTTTCAACAGCAACTGGTTCAGTGAAATGGGCAAGAAAGTGAAAGATGCATTCACCAAGAAGTAAAGCAAATGAGTATTTGATTCGTGCATTGAGGGGGCCAAGAATCCCATCAAGTGTTTCTCCAAATATTGTAGCAGTTTCCTCTGTTGGAGTAGATCTAGATTTCTATGATCCATAAGACACTAATAAACTATGTTCCCCAAGTCTTCTGTGTTATGATTTTTTTTTCACATTTCTACATTTTTGGAAAAAAAAAGAAAAAAAATACAAATGATATCCCACCTATGTCACACAAAGAGTGACAATCCATTCCATACCAAATATCTTTAGATACATGTTAGGTACTCCAGAACAGTGTATTATTGCATACCTTATTAAACTATAGGCAGGGACATCAAGACAAGGCAGAAACACAACAAAAATGTGGGGGTCAAGGGGGGTCCTTGACAATAAGTTCACCGAGCTGTGGGGAAAAGTGGGTCCTCATCAAGAAATCAATCGGTCAAGGGTTGGTAGGATCAGTGAAGCTGATCCTACTAAAACTGAACTCCAGTCTCACAGCTAAATACAAAAATAGAACACAAACATAGTACGATTACATGTGGATTGGGATTAGAT